CCAGGTTGGAGCTTTGCTCCAAAGTGTGGCTGATTTTTGTGTTTTGACATGAAGAGCAGGTCCAAGTTATTCTAATAAACCGGGATTTAAGAGCTTTTCATGAAGAGAAATGGTAACTAGATGGATCAAAACATATTTTTCTGAGATTGTGCATATTTGCAATGGAAATACATGTATTAAACAATGTTTAAATAGCAGATTAATAATCTCATTTGTTGAAAACTATTTGATTTCTCTATTTTTCTTCTGAAATTTCAGTTTGTTTTTCTTGTTAGGAGAAAATATTTCACCCACAATATTTAAGCTTTTTAAACTAATGAAAAAACTGAAGACCAAGACGACCTTTTCAGGCATATCCCTTGTGGATCTGAATAAGTCATGTAGTTCCACAAGGTTGAATCCTCGGTTCCAAATCTTTTACTTTAAATAACTTTCTTTAGGATTAAAACCAATGGATGGGATGCACATTTTACCTTTCTGTCATACAGATGATATTCCTCTACAGTTATACATTAAGAAATGTGAACAAAGAAAGCCTGCAATTCTATTCTAAAGCATGCCCTATTGTTTTATCTGTGCAATGCTGACAAGATTAGAAAAGTTTTCATAAGACAAATACAGAAAAGGAAGTTTATGCATTTATTTTAGCTAAATATTGCTCCTGCAATAAAATGCTGAATTAATTTAATTTCATACAACTTTACCAGGGGTGTCAAGTAACCATGAAGGGAACTGTAAATCAATACCATAACAGCAGAATGCTTTGAGCCATCGTAGAGTATAACAATTCACACTGTACGTTTTACATGAAAGCAAACATAAAAGGTAATTATTCCTCTTTTCTTCTCTTACCAGAAAACATCCTTTACTATTGCCTTTAAGAGACATGAGAAGGAAAGAGATAACGACTTAGAGGATCCAAGCTTTGTGTCTTTACACAGGTTGCCACAGGTATTTGGTATGCACGTCCCCCTGCTGAAAATCTGAGATACCCCTCATCCATCATAAATGCACCAGAGTCAGGCTGCGGCAGCCGTTAATCCATTTCCATATGACATTAATAGGCCTTATCGGGTTGATGCTGGCTGCACATTTACGACAACAACTAATGTCAGATTCACGCAACATGGCAGCATTCTTTCATCTGATTTGAAATAACATGATGAAACTGGAAAACATCACAGCTTTGTTGAATATCAGTGTAATATCAAAACCCTTATAATCATTTCTGATGGCTTTCCTATGATGTAACAATTTGGAGAAATATAAAACTGATAAATATGACAGTATGGATGTTTTTTTTTTTTTTTCTGGCCTCAGGCTGTAAGGATCTGAAAAACCTTGATAGAAGCTAGAAACGTCTCGCAGAAAGCAAAACAGCCAGAGGCCATAGTGCATCCCCCGCCCTCACTTAATGTCTATATGGACCACTTCTGCTGGTTTTAACAGGGCTATAGGCTCTGTTCAGTTTCTGCAAAACTAGTTTTCTTCCTCTCCTTACTATCTAGTAAGGTCAGAGCCCTAAGGAGGCTAAAAGTAAACCGAAGCATGTTGTTAAGGTAAACACCTTAACTAGCCATGTAAATATAGCAAATGGGGGCATTGTGCTGACTGTAAACTTTCCCCTGAGCTGCTTCTTCGCGTCTGGAAGCCAAACCATTTCTGCATTCAGTCAATGAAGCTTTCCGAGGCCAAGACGTGCAATAAAAGCTGAAAATAAACACAGCAGATGAAGAGTGACAGTTTTATCGTCAAATTCATCATTATTCTGAGGACTGGGGGAGATGAACATATTTTGGGATGAGCTGAACAACCTGTTAACCCGCTTTTCCTTGTTTCCTCTCTCTGCTCTTGCACATCGTGTATACTTCCATAACAGTAAATGTGCACCAGTTCTGCTTTGCTTAAAACGAAACAGATTTCCAGTGAGAGATCAGGAGCGCATATGGTGCTCATTTCTGCATCAGTGGGCTAATGCTCTTAAGATCCCCTTTTGTTCTGAGTGTCATTGTTTTAAAGATCGAGACAAAGCAGGGCAGTGTCTGTACGCTTATGCATCATTACTAAAAAAGTAGAACATTGCAGCTATTGTGTTAGTCACCTCATAACTTCCTGCAACCTCAGCAACATTTCTAAAGAGGATAGTTTGCATTTATTTGCACCTCTTAGATAAAGAATCCTAGAAACCTTAAACAAGCCTTGTTTTGCTGAAGACGGATTATTTATGACCAATGGATAAAGGTTTTTTCTGTTTCAGGTTAGGATTACGGGGATTACAACACAGTAGGAAGCAAGAACATTTTTCAATGGATTTGTCGATGTTTTTTAAAGCATTAGTCCGACTGTTTACTGATGAATATCATATAAAGCCATAAAGAATGACAAAATGGTTCCATTTTAGGTTTCTTCTTTTCAAAGGGGAGTCATCCTCCTCGCTATCGCTACATGCTTATCCAGGGGGAGTGAATGATCCATGTAAATGACTTAGTAAGTGCGATCTGCTCAAGACAGTCTGTCTGCAGACCTGCACTGTCAGAACCCTTCCTTGCAGACCTGCAAAATGGGGTCTCCTGCACCGCCAGAACTGGAGGTTTATTCCGGAAATTTTATCCAAAGCCTTCGGGAATATCGTGAATGAAATGTTTGCTGCCGGATTAGAGTTTGACAGTGTTAAACTGAGCATAGGAGCATTTTAAATTATGCAGTAAGCAAAAATCCTCATAGGACAGCCAACCTCCATTGTTTAGAAAATGTCTTATAGACCAAATTCCCTTCTCCATCCAGTGATCCAAGTACAGAGACTTATTTGCATGTAGCACATATCTATTATTCCAGATAGGAGTTTAATAGGGAGTAGAATTGTGCGTGTACATAAGTTTCCAGCATAGCAACACTCGTTTGTGAAAGGAAGTTAGCTTCATGGTGAATTTATTGACACTAGCTTTTACTTTAGAAAGGCTTCGAATCAACATTGCTTTTATTTTGAAAGTCTTTGAATAAAATTCTGGTTCTAACAGAGCAGGAGATCTTACAGTGCAGCTCTGCAGCTCTGGGTCCTGACAGTGCAGCTCTGGGTCCTGACAGTTCAGGTCTGCAGCCAGACCCCTCTTGTTCTGCTGGGTTTTAATTCCATAGAAATCTTTACAATCAATTTAAATAATAAGAACTGGAAATCTCTGTTTTTGGATTAAACTGACTTTATTTGTAAAGTCTGTTTAAAAAAACATCCTGTATAAGTAAATTGAGTAGAGAGGGGTCCCGTTCTGGCATGAGCCAAAAGGCAATGGGGAATAAAAAAAAGAACTATATCTTCCAAAAGTGGAGGCTTTAAAACCTTAGAACAACATTAAAATTCTGAATTAAAGAGAAGGCAGCCTCATGCTGTATGTGTATTTTGCTGTAGGAATAATTCATGTGGTACAAATTTAACCTTAACAGATGGACAAAGATCTTCTGAACGGACAATGATCCAAAGCATTTCCCCAAATTAAAGATAAACTTGGACGTGGACAACCAAGTGAAAAGACGTGGGTGAATTTTATTAAACGACTGCAAGAAACATGGAAGGATATGGGGAAAAACTTTGTCAAATACTAAAAAAACAAACTTTAACCATTGAATTTATATTGTTGAAAAAAAATCCAAAAATTCTCTCTGAAGTCTATCATTCAGTGAATAGAAATGCTCCCAATCGTGACCGATTGCAAACAGAAAATAGTGTCAAACTGAAAAATGATACAGTTCTGTGTTCTAATAGTTTACGGAAATATAGAATGTAAGCTCAGTTCATCCGTGTAACTTCTTTAGTTTCATAATACACAGTGATATTAGATATTAAACTCTAAGTTCCAACAATAGGGTTATCCTCCTGATATTTATGAATAAGAATTCAATTTCTCTCTTCTGAGTTAGATAGGACTACTTTGCTCTTAGATTTTAAGCACCCTCTGGAAACTCCTACTGTAGGTTAGTACGGAAGAGGATTAGGGCCACTGAAAAAAAAAAAGTTAACTGATTTTTAAATATTTCAGTTTAATATGAGTAAAAAGTCAGAACTCTGACGGTTTTCTCAGACTTCTAAATTTTTTTTCCCTCAGAATTCTGACTTTAATCTCAAAGATGTGACTTGATTGGGAGGGCCAGTAACACATAGGTGGAAAATGACGGAATTAGGTGACTTTTTATGTGCCTGATGGGTCCCCATTGATGCTATTTGATTAATGGAAGAGCAGAAGGCAATTAAAACAAGATAGCTAGTTTAGTGTCTAAAACAGACATGGTTACGGCTTGATGCTAACATGTTTGTTAGCTGTCAGAATTCAGTCAGAATTCAGAGAAAAAAGTCAGAATTCAGAGAAAAAAGTCAGAATTCGGAGAACAAAAGTCAGATTTCGCAGAAAAAAGTCAGAATTTTGAGACAAAAAGTCAGAATTCAGAGAAAAAAGTCAGAATTGAAAAAAAAACGGACAAAAGTCAGATTTCGCAGAAAAAAGTCAGAATTTTGAGACAAAAAGTCAGAATTTGGAGAAAAAAGTCAGAATTGAAAAAAAAAAAAAACTCAGAATTCGGAGAAAAAAAGTCAGAATTCTGAGATTAAACGTTTTTCTCATATTAAACAGAAATAATATTTAAAAATCAGTTAACTTTTTTTTTTTTTTTTTTAGTGGCCCTAATCCTCTTCCATAGGTTAGGCAAATACTTTGCTTTCTTATGCCTTGGGCCTTTTTTTAACAATAGGCCCATCATCTACTTGGCTTTTTTGGTTTGTTTTTTTGAAAGACAAAGACATATTTTCTGTATAGCTCATATAGATTTGAGGAGTTCTTGTTAAGTTTTCAGATCATGTATATAAATATGTTAAATGTTTTCCTTTGAAGGCAGGCAGACTTTACAAGCATTTCTGCAGCTTTTTTCCTCCTTTAAAAAAACAAAAAAACAGACTGAACAGCTCGGCCCAGACTCACAAAAAAAGTAGATGGCGATTATGTCTTCTTAAAGGGAGGGGCTTGGACGGGGTATTCAGTGTGGTTTTAACATTGAGTGTAGAGGAGGATCAACTGCAGACTGGCTCCCCTTCCTCTTCTTTCAGCTAAACTCCAGAGGTCTACTTTTGTCCCGTTAGGATTCACAGGTAAGCTCGAAAACTTTACTTTGAGGCGCGATGCGTCGCGTTCAGTTGTAGTAAAACAAAAACAAGGATGCGACTTTTCTTTTCTTTTTTTTTTATCAGCAAAACAAAGTCTGACGTCTCCCGTTTCTTTCTAGAACATTTTTTTTCTCTATTTTCTTTTATGCCTCAAAGAAAAGTCATGGGGGAGCAAAGTTTGATACTTTTTGGCGTCTGAACGATGAAGCGCACAAAGGAAGGCGTCTGTCCGCCCCTTTAATGCGCGCTCAGCTCTTTCTGATTGTTATCGAGCAAAGTATGAAGGCAAACCAAGGGATGTGGAGGGCAGGGAGGGGGCTGCTGTCTCCCACCAACCCACTTCAACCAGTGGCCGACATGAAGTTTCAGCTAAAGCCGCATTCCTGCCAGGAAATCCTCCTCTCATCTCTGTTGTTTAAACAGAGGCGTAGCCAGAAAATGTCTATAAGGGTGGCCAGGAAATAACCAAGGTACAGTAAGAGGGGGACCAAAAGTTGATAGGTGCCAGAACCTCAGGGTCAATCTACAATAGGGTTTCCACCATCCAGAAATGAAAATAAGGGACGTGGGGGTCTTAGAGAAACTTCATTGTCATGGGGGTCTGTCTGGGGGTCCTCCCCCAGAAAATTTAGTATTTCTCAAGGCCAATTTATGCATTTTTCGCATACCCTCTGCAACCGTCAAATCTGTCTCTGTGCGCGACCACGCCCCTTGCGCAGAGGCTCTGCAACTGTCGCCGCGCACCTAAAAAAAAAAAACCTGACTACACGTCGGATGGTCGGAAACCCGCGCAGACCTCAGGCGGAAGTGCGCAGACAAAAAGCAGCTGTGATTGGTCCTTTTTATGCCTTTCCAGCTGTCTGTGTGGTTGTCCTTCTCGATTTGGTGCTGAGGCGCGGCATTTTTAAAAACCGAGGGGTAACAACAACAACAGATAACCATAATGGAAGGTTGATTGAGGAGGTTCGGAAGTACAACCACTTGTACGATGCCTCAGACATGTTGTTTTGGAAAATAAACACTCCCTCCGGCGCCTCTGAAGAACTTCTCCTTACCATCCGCTGAAGTCTTAGTGAGTTCTGGAATAGGCTCCCCCTAGCGCTTTGGCGGGAAACTGCTGTGCGTTCCAGACCGACGTTGCAGAAGCATACCAGCAAAACTGGTTCGCGAACAGACGCAAGCAACATTTGATGTGTGCGATTGTGTATATTGTGTGGATTGAAGTATAATCTGCCCTTTAGGCTACGTTCACACTGCAGGCCTTGATGCTCCATTCCGATTTTTTTTGTGAAATCCGATTTTTTTGCGTTGCTGTTCACATTTCCAAATATATGCGACTTATACGTGATCTCCTGTTTGCAGTGCATTCATACAACCTAAGTGTCCCGCATGCGCAGTAGAGGACGCAATGACGCCACAAGCCAGCGTGCTCTGTGTTTACGGAAGTAAACATGGATGGTTGTGCCGGAGAACATCTAGCGATCTTTCCAAACCTTAAAAACTAAATCTTTTCAAGATGGTTAAACAGAGATACTACTCACCGCATCGTCGTCCGCCATTGTTGTTGTTTTTCTTGCCGCTTCTGCGTAGCAAGAAGCAAAAGAGTGACCACTGTCGGGAATTAATGACATTCAGGTCAGAGGAATGCGACCCGGCTGTTTAGACACAGGTCGCATTTAAAAAGATCAGATTTGTATCGGATTCAGGACCACATAGCCAAGCGGCCTGGGTCGGATTGGAAAAAAAATCTGTGTAGTGCAGCCTGACTTAAAAAGATCAGATCCAGGTCACATATGGGCAAAAAAAAAAATCAGATTTAATGGAGAAAGGGAGAAAGAAACCACGCGCAGACATGGTTGGAACTCGCAACATTAGTCATTCTGTGCGCTAGTGCCACTGAAATTACTGTTTTTTTATTAGTTATGCGTGAAAATACGGAACAAATAGCGTCGCTTATCAGTCAAATGATGGATGCGTAATTTAACTTCCAAATACGGGATAATTCCATATTTCTAGGGCCTGGTGGCAACCCTAATCTACACTACCAACAGGAAAATTAACAAGCACAACATCCATATTTTCTAAATAAAGACAAACTGCACTTCCCTACAGCCTTTGTTCACTAATAGACGCATATAATTTAACATCCCCGCTTTCTAGGTAAATCGTACAGTGGATAAAATTCCTTCAGGTTTGAGTTCTGGGGCGGACATCTTTTCCATACTTTTAAAAATAATAACTCTGCATAAAATTGATACTTAAAAGTACTAATATCTACATAAATTGATTATTTAATAAGTTTTTATTAAAAGTCATTTATAAATGATTTCATTGCAGACTCCTAGATGACTTGCAGAGGCACATTTTATCTTTACCCCATTTAACACAAAATCTAGTTCTGAAAAAAGCCTGTATCTGTACTTATCGTCTTTAAATGTAGTATATTGGTGTGAATAATCAACCACAGTTATTTTGTTGTAAATTCATTGTTAATATATGAAAAATTAAAATGTTTTGAATATTCCACTTGAGAGTATTACTGCTTTCACCATCTGTATTAGAGGGAAAGACATGGTAGGTGTGGCCACCCCTGGCCCCCCATTTAGCTCCACCCCTGGGTCTAAACGCTGTTAGATGAGCATCCTCCTGCACATGTGGATTCCTCTAAAGGATTTCATAAAATACCCTTATACGCAAACGAGGAAGAAGAGAAGTAGATTTTTGTTTATTTTTTGCTGATGACGTCACAAGAGGAAGACGTATAGTGCACTTCTTGGTCAATTAAATTCTTCTCCTAGCAATACAGTTTTATCATTGGATTTCATAATCTATATATATGCTACTATATGTTGGACAGCGATTCCATTTAGAATGGCTATTTTTTTTCCAATTTTGACTAGTCTGTTCCAACTGTAACTAGGAATCTGAAATCAAAATTAGTCTAATCAGCCTCCTGTTGGTAGGAATCAATTACTGAGAAAGCTGCATGTTACCAGGAAAGAATAATTTGAATATCATTGCTGGAAATTCTGGGTGTAAAGCTGCACCTTCTTGACCATTTTCTCTTTCCGCCATTTGGAAATATCCGTTCTGACTTTCATAACGTTATCCTCACACACTGCAATAATGACTGCAATTTGATAGGAAGCGCGCCTCTGTTTATTGGAGCATCACAACCCTAACGTTCCCCCTGACGATACCAACTGAGGGAGGGTTGGTATGTAACATCCTGTGGCAAAGAGCTCCCTTCCTTACAGAAAAGACAAAAATAAAGATAAATAGTGATGATAGGCTGGATGAGCGACTTTTATTTTAAGGTTTATTGTGATAAAGTATTTATGTTTCAAGAGTTGCTCCACTAACTGAGAGCATGAATTTGACCCCAATGACCCACATGCCTTGATGGGTGTTGCTAAACAAAAAGTGATAATTACAATCACCCAGTCTAGGCTATACCTATTCCCTCCATATTCACCACTCATTATCATCTTTTCTGGTTGTCTCTTTAAATAGTTGTTTGTCATCAGTGTCAGTACCTAAGGTTAATAACTTCTCTATTTTTATGCGGTGTTAGAGTTTCCATTCCCAATTCTAAGTCTGTTTGCTTTTTTTAAGGCGGAAGTAGAAAATGTTGCAACTTTTTCTACAGGAAACAAGGTTGTGACTTGAAAACAATCATCTTATTGGAATGCATCACCATACTAGGCAATAGTATAAGATTTGATGATAATGTCGTTTTATTTTGAGTTGATCTACTTTACAAGAAATTTGTCTTCCCAGACCTTGAGCTCAGTTTAAGATGCTCTTGTATCTCGAAAGATGAAACATTTGGGTTATGAAGTCACTAAGAGTACATCTGCTGATTGTTTCTGAAGGCCTTTTTGTCTGCAGAGTACTATTAGTTGAGTAGGGTTTTGGAAAACATGCTGAGAATGCCCTCTGCTCCTTATATGGTGCAGCTCCGACTTGGTGACAGACGATTGGTTTCATGTCTGGAATCCAGTCATTCAGTAGACGGGGTCAACGTTTTATAGCCCGTACAATCTGTGACAGGAATAGATCATTAAAGCCAGTTTTTTAGACTCATTGAAACCAAGTTGTGTATAGTGATAGCAACTGTAGATATGCACAAATTTGGGCCTTTTTATATGTTTTCCTAGGCTAAAAATATTTATAACCTGGTATTTTATATATGGTCTTACAATCCCTCTGAAAGTGTCTTTAAATTGATGTTTAATAATTCTTAGGAGGAAAAGAAGGTATATTCAAGACCCCTTTTTCATACCCTCTCCTTTTTTATTGTTTTCTTGTTAGGGTAGGCACAGGAATTTGACTTGTGTGTTTGTGCGTTCTTGTGAATTTAGCATTAGGAACATGAGCAGTTTGCTATGGTTCATTTTAAATCATTTCTCAGGCTTTTATACAAAGAAGCACCAGCAGGAGAGTCCCAAGTTTCTGGGATGCATTTTTATGCATTCATGTTATACATTGAATTTTTATATAAAATTTTTTAAAAAAAACACCTGAACTGACCGTTTTTTTTTTTTTGTTTTTGTTTTTTTTTCTGGCTTAATGAGAGCAGTGGGCTTTATTCTGCCTTGCAAGGCTTTAAACCTGCATTTGATTGGCGACAAAGCCATTCTCAACCACATATCAAGGCGCTCATTTTGAGCCTGGATCCATATTTATTTTTGATTATTTTCATGGTGGAGAATCCTGCTTCACAGCAGCAGGTTGAGCCAAACATACTCAAAATGTGCAGCTCTGCTCCGGTGCGGCCAGGTCAAAATCCGCTATTGCAATCGCATCAGACAGGGAAAAGAACGGTGCGAAGATCCGGTTTGTCAAATTAAATTATAGTAACAACAGATTGGTAACTACAATTTATTGCATAATTCTTATATTCTTCCCTCCATCAGAAACTGCACATTTGCTGGATGCTGATGGGGATTTTTTTAATATGTCACAATAAATTAAACGTTAAT